CCTGACGGTTTTCATAAGCTAGCAACACGTCCTGTAGAATTCTATCCATTCTGTTTTTATCTGCACAATCAGAACGAATTTCAGGAACCAAAATGCTTTTTCTGTGTGGCCTGAGCAAGAGCGGTGGACAACATTACAGTGGTACCTCAGGTTAAGTACTTAATTCGTTCCGGAGGTCCGTTCTTAACCTGAAACTGTTCTTAACCTGAAACACCACTTTAGCTGCTGCCACCGCGCCGCCGGAGTACGATTTCTGTTCTGATCCTGAAGCAAAGTTCTTAACCCGAGGTACTATTTCTGGGTTAGCGGAGTCTGTAACCTGAAGCTGTCTGTCACCTGAAGTGTATGTAACCCGAGGTACCACTGCATAGCTAACTCTTGTCACTTGTCTTCACTTACTCCCCCCTCCGGCCCTGCTCACAGTTGTGAAGAATATTCCTACGTTATGAATGGTCCGAGTCACCATTAAGAAAAAATAGGTCGGAATGGCCCAATATATGTGTGTGGACTGTCCCTGGATCTTCCTTAAGTTCTCTTTTTTTTTTTTTATAAAATATTTATTCAAATTTTAAGGTTACAGAAAAAGAAAAAAGTAAAAAAAGAAAAACAAATCCCATACATCCTACAAATCACATACATCCTACAAGAAAAACACACAATACAAAGAAAAATACACCAGACAAAAAATCACAATAAAAAGGAAAAAAAAATAACAAAAGAAAAATTCAACTTAAAGCATTAAAACTGTTTTCTCATTTACTTATTTCCGTGACTTCCTCTCACTTCTCTGCTTTGTATTCTAATTCAAATCGTATCTCCAACAAATCCTTCTAACCTTCTTTTCATTTACTTATTTTGACATTCGAAAATATTTAATTCTCCTCTATCTTTTATTTTACACTTCATATTTACTTATTCCATTATACTCTGTCTGCCAGTACGGTCTAATATTCTTCTCCAACCTTTTCTAACATTCTTTTATATTACAGTATTTCTGAAGATATATTTTAAATTTTCTCCAATCTTCTTCCATCGACCCTTCTTCTTGATCTCTGGATCTTCCTTAAGTTCTCAGAGTTCTTAACCTAGCTCAAGTTTCGCCAGCTAGCCAGATGTTTAACTGATAATCAATCAAAGTCAGTCCGTTGCTTGAAAAATAAAGACTTCAGAACCGCCTTGCCCCAAAATGGCAACTATGCAATTCGTTTTGGCAACTGTAACCTTGGTTTAAGGAGCCATTTGGCACCTAGCTTATATACCTGACTTTCTGACACTGCACAGTTGCAATTACAGTGATACCTCAGGTTAAGTACTTAATTCGTTCTGGAGGTCCGTTCTTAACCTGAAACTGTTCTTAACCTGAAGCACCACTTTAGCTAATGGGGCCTCCCATTGCCTCCAGAGCACGATTTCTGTTCTCATCCTGAAGCAAAGTTCTTAACTCAAGGTACTATTTCTGGTATTTGACCTAACTGTGGGAGGCAGTGGAAGACAGGAGTGCCTGGCGTGCTCTGGTCCATGGGGTCACAAAGAGTCGGACACGACTAAACGACTAAACAACAACAACTATTTCTGGGTTAGCAGAGTCTGTAACCTGAAGCGTATGTAACCTGAGGTACCACTGTAGAAGCTTTGTCACATTTGTGCAGTGGCCAAAGACATTGGTAGCCTTGTACCCATCACTTGGTAATTCTGATTTCGAAGAGAACAGAAATAAAAATCAGTGCAGTATTTGAGAAAAATTCAGCCTGCTATATAGATTCGAAATAGCATTGAGTTGTCTCCGGATGTAGGAGAAACCTGTTCCTTGATTTGGCTATGCAACCTTAAAGAGGTGTTCCAATTCATAATGACTATATGTATATAAATATACATGCATGCGTGACATATATACCGCACCCTACAGTCGCTGAAAAAAATTAAAATAGACCCGCAACAAATGAAGTCACCAGCTATTTTGGTCTCGGATCTGATTCATAACAAAGTTGATTCATTCTCTCCCACGCCCCCACCATAAATTGAGCACTGTTTTAATTGCAGAGATGGAGTTTGTTTGCGGCTGGCCGCCTCCTTTCACCGACTCTCGAGTCAAATCCCCAGGAACCATTTGACAATACTTGGTAGTTTTAAACACTCCTCCCTTAGGGATGGATCAGGCCCTTAATATTTGTATAAAGATAAAGGGACCCCTGACCATTAGGTCCAGTCGCGGCCGACTCTGGTGTTGCGGCGCTCGTCTCGCATTATTGGCCGAGGGAGCCAGCGTGCAGCTTCCGGGTCATGTGGCCAGCAGGACTAAGCCGCTTCTGGTGAACCAGAGCAGCGCACGGAAACGCCGTTTACCTTCCCGCCGGAGTGGTACCTATTTATCTACTTGCACTTTGACGTGCTTTTGAACTGCTAGGTTGGCAGGAGCTGGGACCGAGCAATGGGCGCTCACCCAGTCCCGGGGATTCGAACTGCCGACCTTCTGATTGGCAAATCCTAGGCTCAGTGGTTTAACCCACAGCGCCACCCGCGTCCCATAATATTTGTATAGTGCCTAAGAATTGGGAATGGGGGCTGTTGCTCAGGGGGGCATTGCAGCCAGCAGTTGAGGCAACTGGTTGTGCAATCAGGGGAGCCGGTACCTCTGCGGATAAGCCCTTTCGCTGAATGCGAAGATCAGTCCCTAGCACATAACAGTCAAAAAGTGTAAGTTTACAGAATTGGAAAGTTGGGAGGGCACCCCAGGGGTCATCAAGCCCAACCCAGGTACCCTAAGCCAGTCAGAGCAAACTCGATGGCCCTTGTGGTCTCTTCCAACTCTATGATTCTATTATTCTAACCCCGGGGTTAGGGGCCATGTTGTATGTTCACATTACCACCTCAGTGTGCAGCGAAGTGTTTCCCCTCTGTCATGTTTTGCAGCTCTTTCCCCCCCCTTGCCCCCCCAGCTGTTCACATCAGCATGGCATTGTTAGTGTCAGATCTGTGTACATACTGGGGGTGTTAGTGGGGTGTGTGTGTGTATTTTTTTAAAGACATTTTTTCAATATTACATCATAACAAATAACATAAATCACAATTCCAAAATTTCCCCATTCCCCCTGTACTTCCCTCAACCTCCTTCTCTGGTTTATTTCAAAATGATATCATTTCCTGCATATTTCCTTTTTCACTCCTTTTTCGTATTTTAACTTATAAATTATATGTTTTTTGCTAATTGTAAATGATTATTCAAAACCTGCCAATAAGTCCAATTCTTTGCATTGATTCTGTACGTAGGCCGAAAATGGTTCCCAGTCTTTCTTAAAGTATTTTTTGTGTCTTTATTTCGAAGTCTTTCAGTTAGTTTTGCCATTTCGGCCTATTCCATAAGTTTTTCTTGCCATTCTTCTTTGGTCGGTGTTTTATCGCTTTTCCATCTTCGTGCCAGTAGCATCCTTGCCGCGGTTGTAGCACACATGAAGAGTTTTCGTTTGCTTTTTGGCAAATCTTGACCTAAAACTCCTAAGAAAAAAGGCTTCTGGGCTTTTAACAAAGGTTATCTTGGACTTTTTTTTCATTTCATTATACAGTGGTGCCTCGCAAGACGAAATTAATTCGTTCCGCAAGTTTTTTCTTCTTGCGAGTTTTTCGTCTTGCGATGCACGGTTTCCCATAGGAATGCATTGAAAATCAATTAATGCGTTCCTAGGAAGCCGACTTCAGACCAGGTCCGGGGACAGTCTGTCCCCGACCTCTTCTGAAGGCTGGGGGGGACAAGGGCTTTCTTCCCACCCCCAGCATTTTAAAACCCCGGGACAGCGGAGGGCTTCTCCGCTGTCCGGGGCGATCTTAAAATGCTGGCGGGCGGCATTTAAAATTGCCCCGGGACAGCGGAGGACTTCTCCGCTGTCCGGGGCAATTAAAGCCCCTGGGAAGGCAGGCAGGGGGACAAAGACTTTGCCCCCGCCAGCCTTCAGAAGAGGTCCTGGACCTCTTCTGAAGGTTGGCGGGGCGAAAGTCTTGTCCCCCCACCTGCCTTCAAAAGCTGTCCAGCCAAGGCTTCGCGGACCTCTCCGCAAGCAGCGGCAGCACTGCCGCTGCTTGCGGAGAGTTGCCCGCATGCCGAAGCCGGCGCGCGCTTAGCTGAGCGCGCCCCGGCTTCGCGGACCTCTCCGCCCGCAGCGGCAGCGCTGCCGCTGCTCGCGGAGAGTTGCCGGCATGCCGAAGCCTGCGCGCGCTGAGATCAGCGCGCCCAGGCTTCGCGGACCTCTCCGCGAGCAGCGGCAGCGCTGCCGCTGCTCGCGGAGAGTTGCCGGCATGCCGAAGCCTGCGCGCGCTGAGATCAGCGCGCCCAGGCTCCGCGGACCTCGCCGCGAGCAGCGGCAGCGCTGCCGCTGCTGGCGGCGAGTTGCCGGCATGCCGAAGCCGGCGCGCGCTGGGGTCAGCGCGCCCAGGCTTCAGCGGACCGGAGATTTCCCTATGGGCTTTCGTCTTGCGAAGCAAGCCCATAGGGAAATTCGTTTTGCGAAGCGCCTCCAAAACGGAAAACCCTTTCGTCTAGCGGGTTTTTCGTCTTGCGAGGCGTTCGTCTTGCGGGGCACCACTGTATATCATTTCCAATAATTTTTAACTATTTTACAATTCCACCATAAGTGATGAAAAGTGCCTTCCTTCTCTTTACACTTCCAACACTTATTGGAGCCTGTTCTATACATGCGGGGTCAGTAAACACATGAGACCTAACCAGCTGTGTTGTTAGATAAATAAGATACAGTCATACCTCTTGTTACGTTTGCTTCAGGTTAATTCTTTTCAGGTTGTGTCCTGCAGCGACCCAGAAGTACTGGAAAGGGTTACTTCCGGGTTTCGCTGCTCGCGCATGCGCAGACGCTCAAAATGACATCATGCGCAGAAGCGGCGAATCACGACCCGCGCACGCGCAGACGTGGGTTGCGTTTTGCTCATGTTGCAAACAGGGCTCCGGAACGGATCCCGTTCGCAACCAGAGGTACCACTGTATACTATTCATAGTAAGGTAAAGGTAAAGGGACCCCTGATAATTAGGTCCAGTCGCGGACGACTCTGGGGTTGCGGCGCTCATCTCGCTTTATTGGCCGAGGGAGCCGGCGTACAGCTTCCGGGTCATGTGGCCAGCAGGACTAAGCTGCTTCTGGCGAACCAGAGCAGCGCACGGAAACGCCGTTTACCTTCCCGCCGGAGTGGTACCTATTTATCTACTTGCACTTTGCCGTGCTTTCGAACTGCTAGGTTGGCAGGAGCTGGGACCGAGCAATGGGCGCTCACCCAGTCCCGGGGATTCGAACTGCCGACCTTCTGATTGGCAAGTCCTAGGCTTTGTGGTTTAACCCACAGCGCCACCCGCGTCCCATACTATTCATAGTACCAAATTGTAAATTTCAACAGAAGTAACTCATAAAGTTCAACAAACGAACAAAGCGGAAGAGTTTGTTGATAGTATATCTTATTTATCTAAGAACACAGCCGGTTACATCTCATGTGTTTACTGAGTATGCTTTACGAGACCATGGGTTTGTTTGTTGTTGCTTTGTTAGTGCGATACATGCGGGGAGCATGTCTTCACCCGCTGCAAAGATGTTCTCACCCTGGCTTGAGACGAATTATGAGCATCTTAAGGACCACAGTTGGTGTGCGGCTGGTTTGAATCCCAGAACTGCAAAGTTGAGCAGAACCGTAAGGTTCATCAAGTCCTGCGGGAATCTTTTGCCTGACGGCCCTGAGATTAAAGAGCCTTGTGCTCAATATTGGACTGAACTATTTATACCCATCAATGCATCAAACAGTTGCATCACATGAGAAAGTACAGAACACATAGATCTTGGATAGATCTCCCTTTCCATGGAGGCACGGGTTACAACAGCCAAGGTGACATTTTTCCACCTTCGCCGCATCAAGCAGTTGGTCCCTTACCTTTCCCGCCCCGACCTGGCCACAGTGATCCATGCGATGGTCATCTCCAGGCTTGACTACTGTAATTCGCTCTATGCGGGGCTGCCCTTGAAGCTGTCCCAGAAACTCCAGCGGGTGCAGAATGCTGCAGCGAGGCTCCTCACGGGGTCTCTGCCATGGGAGCATATTCACCCAGTGCTTTTCCAGCTGCACTGGCTCCCGGTGGAGTACAGGGTCAGGTTCAAGGTGCTGGTTTTGACCTTTAAAGCCCTTCACGGCCTAGGACCCTCATACCTACGGGATCGCCTCTCCTGGTATGCCCCACGGAGAGCCTCAAGGTCCATAAATAGCAACACCCTAGTGGTCCTGAGCCCTAAGGAAGTTAGATTAGCTTCAACCAGAGCCAGGGCCTTTTCAACACTGGCCCCGGCCTGGTGGAGCAGCTCTGTCTCATGAGACCAGGGCCCTGCGGGATCTGATTTCTTTCCGCAGGGCCTGTAAGACAGAGTTGTTCCGCCTGGCCTTTGGCTTGGAATCAGTTTGATTCCCTCCCCCTCTTTCTTTTTCCTTTCTCCTCCTATGAAGAGATTACACTCTAATGCTTTAATGTTGTATCTTAATCTTTTAAATTGTATTTTCATCAACTTGTTTTTATTATTGGTTGTTAGCCGCCCTGAGCCCGGTCTTGGCTGGGGAGGGCTGGGTATAAATAAAAATTTATTCTTATTCCTATTCGATAGCGTCGCGCACGGACAAATTGGAAACGCCGCGAGCGTGCAATAAATGGCCGTTCCAACACAGCCTAGGAGTCTGAAGCGCTTTGTTGACGCCTTGCTGCAAAACTCGCTTCAAGATTCGTTTCGGGGTCTTGTTGTGGCCGCCGGCTGAGAATAAATCAGCTCTCTATGCTGTTAACCGCGATACCACATAAGGAGCGACATGATTCTGAGCTGGAGAGTTGGTTACTGACGCTGTACTGACTGGAAGCAGCACCCCAGGGTTTCTTGGCTTGGCCTTGAGGTCTTCTGCATGCAAAGCAGATGTCCTGTCACCCAGCTATGTCTCTCGGCCCCCTGCCCTGTGCTGTATCTAGTTCACCTTTCCTTCTGCTCCTCCGTATGGGGTGGAGAGAGCGAACAGATGGCTGCTCATTGTTATCCTGCCATCTTCCTCCTCCGTTGCAATTTGCTGCCGGTTGTGCATATCTTAAAACCATCTGTCCCTTTCTCTCGGCGCCGGGAACTTTTTATCCGTTCCGTTTGTCTCGGTGCATTTATACTGGCAAGCGCTCTGAGAGTATCTGTGTGCTTGCATCAGGGGGTTTTTTTGGGCGGGGGGAGATCTTCTGGAGGCCCAGCTTGCAAGCCTTGTTGCTTCAATCTGAGACTTTCTTGGGCTGTTTCCTGGTTCTGCGCTGGCTGCGGGTAGAACTTGCAGATATTTGTGGCTTGGGAAACAGAGGAAGTGGTGACATCGTTGCGCTGAGAATCATGGTTCAGAGAAGACTCAGTCAAGGCAGGGGCGAAGAGGTGCTTCTCATTTTCAGTCAGCAAGTTGCCTGATTAAAGAGTCGCGTTGCCATAAAAGCACAGTTAAAAACTCAGATATAAAAGCTGCTCTCCAAATGGCACCTTGAACTTAGGGTGCAGTCGCCACAACGAAATGTTGGAGGATGGATGGCGGCTAACAGATTGAGGTTGAATCCTGACAAGACAGAAGTACTGTTTTTGGGAGACAGGGAGCAGGTGGGTGTGGGGGATTCCCTGGTCCTGAATGAGGTAACTGTGCCCCTGAAGGACCAGGTGTGCAGCCTGGGAGTCATTTTGGACTCACAGCTGTCCATGGAGGCGCAGGTCAATTCTGCAGTCCAGGGCGGCTGTCTACCAGCTCCATCTGGTACGCAGGCTAAGACCCTACCTGCCCACGGACTGTTTCGCCAGAGTGGTGCATGCTCTAGTTATCTCCCGCTTGGACTACTGCAACGCTCTCTCCGTGGGGCTACCTTTGAAGGTGACCCGGAAACTGCAATTAATCCAGAATGCGGCAGCTAGACTGGTGACTGGGAGTGGCCGCCGGGACCACATAACACCGGTTCTGAGAGATCTGCATTGGCTCACAGGACGTTTCTGAGCACGATTCAAAGTGTTGGTGCTAACCTTGAAAGCCCTAAACGGCCTCGGCCCAGTATCCCTGAAGGAGCATCTCCACCCCCATCGTCCAGCCCAGACACTGAGGTCCAGCACCGAGGGGATTCTGGTGGTTCCCTCATTGCGAGAAGTGAGGCTACAGGGAACCAGACAGAGGGCCTTCTTGGTAGTGGCACCCGCCCTGTGGAACGCCCTCCCATCAGATGTCAAAGAGATAAACAACTATCTGACATTCAGAAGACATCTTAAGGCAGCCCTGCTCAGGGAAGTTTTTAATATGTAACGCTGTATTGTTTTTAACACTTGATTGGGAGCCACCCAGAGTGGCTGGGGAAACTCAGCCAGATGGGCGGGGTATAAATAATAAATTATTATAATATTATTATTATGTCTTTGCGCCATCTTTCTCTTATTCCCCTTTTCTTTCTTTCTTTTTTGGCAGTGAAATTTGTCGTCGTCGGTTTTATTACTGTTGGTTTCATTTCTTTACTGCTTTACACAGGCACAGGCAAACTCGGCCCTCCAGATGTTTTGGGACTGCAATTCCCATCATCCCTGACCACTGGTCCTGCTAGCTAGGGATGATGGGAGTTGTAGTCCCAAAACATCCGGAGGGCGGAGTTTGCCAATGCCTGGCTTCACATTTTAAAGAAAACATCTCAAAGCGGTTTATGAAACCTACAATAAAACCATCCACAATAAAACAAATGCCAGCTTCAAGGGATATACAGTGGTACCTCGGGTTAAGTACTTAATTCGTTCCGGAGGTCCGTACTTAACCTGAAACTGTTCTTAACCTGAAGCACCACTTTAGCTAATGGGGCCTCCCACTGCCGCCGCACCGCCAGAGCACGATTTCTGTTCTCTTTTTTTTTTTAATAAAAGTTTTTATTTTTATTATTATTATTTTTTATAAAAGTTTGTATTGCACGATTTCTGTTCTCATCCTGAAGCAAAGTTCTTAACCTGAAGCACCATTTCTGGGTTAGCAGAGTCTGTAACCTGAAGCGTATGTAACCTGAAGCGTATGTAACCTGAAGCGTATGTAACCACTGTATTTCAGATACTTCTCTAAGGGACATTTAGCTCTCCCCCTATTTATTTACCTACTTAATTTATGGAGCTGCCCCATAGCAGGAGGACTCTAGGAAGCCAGTGTGGTGTAGTGGTTAGAGTGTCGGACCAGGACCTGGGAGATCAGGGTTCAAATCCCCACTCCTCCAGAAAACTCACTGGGTGACCTTAGAGCTAGTCGCAGCCTCTTAAGCTACCGCGCAGGGGTGTTGGGATTACCTGTGGAGAGGCGGTGGACCATGTGCTCCTTGCAGAAAAAGGTGGGAGATGTTGTTGTTGTTTAGTCGTTTAGTCATGTCCGATTCTTCGTGACCCCATGGACCAGAGCACGCCAGGCACTCCTGTCTTCCACTGCCTCCCGCAGTTTGGTCAAACTCATGTTAGTCGCTTCGAGAACACTGTCCAACCATCTCGTCCTCCGTTGTCCCCTTCTCCTTGTGCCCTCCATCTTTCCCAACGTCAGGGTCATTTCCAGGGAGTCTTCTCTTCTCATGAGGTGGCCAAAGTATTGGAGCCTCAGCTTCAGGATCTGTCCTTCCAGTGAGCACTCAGGGCTGATTTCCTTCAGAATGGATTGGTTTGATCTTCTTGCAGTCCATGGGACTCTCAAGAGTCTCCTCCAGCACCATAATTCAAAAGCATCAATTTTAATTCCTCTTCATGGATCACTGCCTTGCTGTGGTGAAGGGGCTTGAATAACTCAGAGAAGCTATGAACTATGCCGAGCAGAGCACCCAAGGTGGGAGATAAAATGCAATAAATGAGCTCTTCTGCTCACCTGCTTAAGGAAGCTGGAGGGGCCAGCCAGGTGGAGACATCAGTCGCCAACGTGGCATGCAGACATCTCCACGTGTTTGCAATTGGAGCTGCACTGGTCACAAAACGCGCCTGGCTAATTTCTAACACTGTCTGGTGGTGGGAAGGGGGGATACCTGGGACGCAAGGCTGGCTGTACCATACAGCAGGGAGATGTCGGCCGATGGGGTCAAGGAGGAAAACACATGGCCTGCACAGAACCACATTTCTGCTTTGGCAACGATTGCGTCGTCTCACCCAACTTGTTAGAGCTCTTTATTGAGTTCAGAACTCCTCTCCCTGCTGCTTAAGTCCTAAACAATTAGATGAGGCCCTTGT